ACTTGAAATTGTTTAAAATTGCTCAAAATGTGCCCAGAGTACTCGAGATTTGTTAAAAGTGACTCAAACGGTGTAACTGGTTCCTCAGAACGTTCTGTCAGTGTCTATCTATGGATGGATCCATGTTCCTGCTAGAATCCAGTCTCTGGTCACATTTCACCACCTGATGAGGCTCTAACATCAGTAGAACCTGATTCATACAAGACAAGGTGTTCACAGGTTCTAGATGTTGGTTTTATACGTGCAGAGGAACAAGCTGCTTCCACGTTGTCTTCATGATGAAGTTCATCAACATACTTATCAGATACATCAAAGCAAAAAACTGGAACCTGGTCTTGGACACATCAGGTTCTACTGATGTCAGAGCCTCAACAGTTGGTGAAATGTGACCAAAGAAACATGGATCCATCCATCCATCCATTATCTATACACCGCTTAATCCTCATTAGGGTCATGGGGGGCTGGAGCCTATCCCAGCCGGCTTAGGGCGAAGGCAGGGGACACCCTGGACAGGTCACCAGTCCATCGCAGGGCCACAAACATGGATCCATCCATAGATATATAGACGCTTTAAAGAACTTTGTGGAGACAAAACACCACCCTGTGTTTGAAAACTGTACATGTTTTTCTATGTGTTAAGTTCTAATGCCATAAATCTGATTATTTATTATTTATACTTATCAAACCTGGAACCAACAGTTTAAAGCGTCCTCAGGAGGTACCAGTACTGAGGGATATAATCTACATGACGTAGATGTTTTACTGCTCGTGTCTTGATTTGAGTCCAGAGTTATTTCCTCTCTGTCCTGTTTAGATCACAGCTGATCCACTCATGTTGTCCCAGGTGCCCCAAGAAGAGCAGAAAACAGCTGGATAATAAACCCACCGTGGGTTTTTTTTTTTGCCCCCAAACGTCAGCAACAGTTTGACTTTTTCACTTGTAAACGGATGTTAAAGCCACTTACACGCCTCCAGAATCTGTAAACGAGATTACAGCCAGTGTGTCTGCAGGCCAGATCCAGAACGCCGCCGCCGTCATGTGACGTCCTGACAAGCGACTGCATAAAAGAGCCTTTATACGTCTCCCTGCAGCAGCAGCAGTCACAGTCTGGTGCTCTGGGTTGGGTTTTACCTCAACGTTTTAGGACGAACAACGTGAACAGATCGCAGTAGAGACGCGACACGTGCAGGTTATTTAATAATGTCGACTGTTTTGCTCTAAAAGCAGCTAAATCCTGTCGTTTTATTACTCAGACGGACTGATTTTGTTGAATGTACACCTGATTTTTATTCGTTTTTTGCTGATAATTGTACAATTTCGTCTATTTATTAGCGGTCACTCCACTTTTTCTAGTTTCTCGTGTCTTTGCTCGTAGTTTTGTTCGTCAGATTTGCGTCTCTGCGTTGAATCGTGTGTTTTTGCAGCTCTTCATGCATCGTGGGTTAAATTTATTAACGTGTGATTCACTCATGAGCAGCATTAAGAAGCCTGCTTTGGTTTTCCTGCTCAGAAGCTGCAACATTTCTGAGTCTTATTTTCTTTGTAAAACACCACACGAGGCGGCTTTGAATGCTTTCAGTTTGAGCTAAAGCGGCTGAACAGCATCTCCCTGTGGCGCTGGACCATGCGCAGCAGCTTCCTGACTCCAGCAGGAATAAAGGCCGAACACATCCTCTCGTGAAGCTTCTCATCGGGTTAAAACGGGACCTTTCTTTTCCCAGTTGAGGATTGTGGGTCGGAGTTTCCTCAAACGTCTGGTTCTGTCCAGAGATGTTCAGTTTAGCGTCACAGAGGAAAGAAGCCAGAAGACGTCCACCGGAGGAGCTGAAACCTCAGAGTTCAGACTGGTTCTGATCGATAAACTGATTCATCGCTGTCCCTGGGTCTCAGTGCCGACTGGTTAAACCCACTAGAACTGGATTCTGGTCTGGCAGCTGTTGGTTCTGGTCTCTGTTGGTTCCACAGTGGAGCCGGTCCTGTGAAGGAAACAATCCTGGAGGACGAGTCGACTCGAAACGCTGATTTCTCTTCTGTTTGTCTTTGCAGCGACGATAAAGAACAACCACAGCGGTCTGGGCTTTCCTGGGAGCAACGGCAGCAACGGCAGCAACGGCAGCAACGGGAGCAACGGGAGCAACGGGAGCAACGGGGACAACGTGGCGTTTACCGAAGGAGATCTGCTGCTGCAGGTAGGAACCGGGAACCCAAAAAACCCAACAGGCCGTGAGACTCTAGATATCTGCTCTCTGATTGGTTGTACTGGTGGCTGCCGCTACCCACTAAAATGTGAGCGTCCAGTTTTTACCGGAACTACTTTCCGATGAGGAACTAGTCCCTGTCCCTGCCCAGTGTGACCAGTCTGCGACCAGTATGAATGTGTCTGACCGCTGGTGTGTGCAGGCGCTGAACGGCTTCGTGATGGTGGTGACGGCGGACGGTCTGGTGTTCTACGCCTCGCCGACGGTCAAAGACTACCTGGGCTTCCACCAGGTGAGTCCGGCCCTCAGGTGTCCTATCGGTTCAGGATCGTCAGGGATCAATAACGAGCATTTCATCAGTTAAATGGTTCAAACACGGTGTTGTTTAGTCTGATGTTGTCTTCAGCGACCCTGGTGAGGATGAAGGTGTAGAGATGATGTCTGGCTGACTGCTGGTTTGCTGTTTGCTCCGCCAGTCGGACGTCGTCCACCAGAGCGTGTTCGAGCTGATCCACACCGACGACCGCTCGCTGTTCAGGGAGCAGCTGCACTTCGCTCTCAACCCGCCGCCGGCCGCCACAGACGGAGACGGTGAGACGGAGCTGAAGCTTTATTGATGTTTCATGTGATCCCAGCAGAACCTCTGGAGCTTCTGGTTCCACCCGGAACACTGTAGTGTTTCATTATTGTTCTTCTGCAGCGCGTTACAATGAAGCTGCTCAGCTAGAATGATCAATATTTCACATAATTTAATATGTTCATATTTAAACGTGCTGTGACCGTTTACAGGTGTGTGTTCTGGGACCTCTGCTGCCAGATTTCAGGATTTAAAATTTTTATTTTATTTTGGTTTTGTTTGTGTTTTTAAAACACTGATTGTGTGCAATATGGATAAATTAATATATATATTGATATTGTCTCACCTTATCTTGTCTGGTGTGACTTCTTTTTCTTTCTTTTCTTTTTTTTTTTACTTTACAGGGTTTTTTTTTTTTTTTAACTTAATATTATTTTGTGTAATTTTATTTGGTTTTATCTAAATTTATTTTACCTTTTTTTTCTATCTTGTGAATTTTATTTTTTTGCTGGTTGTTAATTTAGGTTATTTTACTTCATATTGTTTCGTGTTATTTTGTTTTCTATTTTATTTTATTTTACTTCATTTTTTTATCTTCTCTAATTTGACTTTTTCTTGTTTTTGTTTTTTTTAACTTTACACCATTTCAGGTTATTTTACTTCATACTATTTTCATGTTATTTGTTTTATATTGTTTTATTTTAAGTTATTTTATTTTTTGCGAGCCAGCTGTTCCTCACCTCTGGTTGTGACCCAACAGCTGCGTCAGAGTCCTGCAGGGTTTTCATTCTTTAGTCTCTACTTGGGCCCGTGTCGGTGGTTCTGACGGTCCGACTCTTCCTCTTCAGGCATGCAGCTGTGTGGGAACACGGTGGCCTACAAACCCGAGCAGCTGCCTCCAGAGAACTCGTCCTTCCTGGAGAGGAGCTTCGTGTGTCGCTTCCGCTGCCTGCTGGACAACTCCTCCGGCTTCCTGGTGAGTCGCTTCACCCAAACACGACCAACCCGCTGAATGAGAACCTCCTAAACACCTTCTCCTCCTCCTCCTCCTCCTCCTCCTGAACCAGGCGCTGAAGTTCCAGGGCCGACTCAAGTACCTCCACGGCCAGAGTCTGCTGCGAGACAACGGCGGCCGGAGCCACCCTCAGCTGGCCCTGTTCGCCATCGCCATGCCGGTGCAGCCGCCGGCCATCGTGGAGATCCGAACCAAGACGCTGCTGTTCCAGAGCAAGCACCGGCTGGACTTCACGCCGATGGGCATCGACAGCAGGTGACGATTCGACGCCGTTTCTTTCTGTTTTTACGTTCGGCTGCTCTCCTGCTCGTTCGGCTCATTCGGCCCGGTTCTAACGTCCGTGTCCGTCTCCAGGGGGAAGATCATTCTGGGATACTCGGAGTTCGAGCTGTGCACCAAAGGCTCCGGCTACCAGTTCATCCACGCCGCCGACATGATGTACTGCGCCGACAACCACATGCGCAGTACGTCCACAGAGCACGCACACAAACACACTGAGCAACAAACTTCACATAGAAAACACCACAGAGTTAAACCGAAGGCTTCTGAATGTATGTGTGACACAATAAGACGTCTGTCGGTAATGAACGAGGTCATGACCTGATGAACGAAGCTCTGAAGCTACAGAACAAACATGAAAACACATCTAATGAATCCCCGTTAACTAAGGTTTAATTTTTACTGTCATTTCCATTGTGTTTTGTTTTTTAAATTTACATTGAATATTATTCAATATTATTTTATTATGTTATTTTGTCTTAACTGGTTTTATTTTATTTTTATTTATTTTATTTTATTTGATGCTATGGTATGTTATTGTGTTATTTTATATTATCTGATTTAATTTTGTTTGATTTATTTTTTATCTGATTTAATTTTATGTTTTTTTTATCTTGACTTATCCAATTTGATTTTTTGTTTTATATAATTTTAGGTTATTTTAAATAATATTATTTGATTTAGTTTTATTTCATTTATTTTATTTTATATTCTTTTATTATATTATTTTGTCTTACCGTATCAGATTTTATTTTATTTCCATTTTATTTTTTTCAGATTTTATTTTATGCAATAATATGTTATTGTGTTATTTTATATTACCTGATTTAATTTAATTCAATTTAATTTGGTTTTATTTTTGTCTGATTTAATTTTATATTCTTTTATGCTGACTTATCCAATCAGATTTTTTATTTTTTGTTATTTTAATTATTTTTTAAATCATATTTGATTTTGTTTTATTTCATTTATTTTGTTATTTTAGTTGGTTATTTTATGAGATTTATTTTTAGATTTTTTTCTCTAATCTGATTTAATTTCATTTCATGTTATTTTGCTTAATTTGTTTAAAATCACATCTATATATTAGTTTCATTTTATTTAACTTTGTTTTATTGTAGGTAATTTTACTTTATATTATTTTAAGTCATTTTATTTTTTTAAACTGAGGGGTTTTATGCTTTGTAGATGCATTTTTGGCCTCCCAAAGTGTTTTTAGCCCCAAAAGAAGATGATCAGCCCTCGTTTCTGGTTGGAGGTTAATTTGTTAAAATATAATCGACTTTTTTTTTTTTTTACTAAATGACCAGAAATACCAGGAGAGCAGATCATTCCTGTAGATGTAAGATCAGAATTAGGTTTCTTTTGTCTCATTATTATTAATTAGTTTTTATAGATTTTGTCTGCTCGTCGGGACTTTTCCACTTCCTGAGTTTCACCGACTCTAAACCCGACGTCGTAGATCTACCACGACGTTCGCTCCTCACGCTTTGTGTTTGTTGTCCTTCTGTCTCAGTGATTAAAACCGGAGAGAGCGGTCTGACGGTGTTCCGGCTGCTCAGTAAGTCGGGCAGCTGGGTTTGGGTCAAGTCCAACGCCAAGCTGATCTACAAAGGAGGACGGCCCGAGTTCATCATCGCCTACCAGCAGGCTCTAGTGTGAGTGTCCAGATGTTCTGGCAGATGTGTCTCATTTCAGTCGTTTTGTTTCAGTTTTTATTATTATTTTTATTATTTTATTATTTTTAAATGACTTCTTGAGTCATTTTTTTGTCACATTTCAAGTTCTTGTGGACGGTTTGGAGCCACTTTGGACCCATTCAGTTGCAGTCAGATCATCCAAATGCCGCTAACGAGGGAAAAAATAGAGAAAAGATTAATTTCTTTTATTATTTCTTTTACAAATATACATATATATTTTAAAAAGTTTCCACTATGAAGCAGTGACAGTGCCAAATTCCAAAAATAAATCAGTAAAAGAATAAATAATAAAATAAAAGTGGAAATGAAAAGAAGATTAAATAAAAGAAAAAATAAATAATATGGCAATATTAATCAAAAATGAATCCATAAAGTAAAGGCTGATAAAAGTAGAAATATAAAGACAAAAAAAAACAATAATGCAAAATAATAATTGCTTTTATTCATTT